GTGTTATGATTTAAATTTAGATATAAATATATAATATATTATTATATAAATAATATATGTAATATATTATTATACAAATAATTATATTTTTTTTATTTCGAGCTAAAACAAGCCGAAAACAAGCGAACAAAGAGTTGTTCGTGTGCGGCTCGTTTATAATTCGAGCTTTAAAAATTTATTCATGTTCGGCTCGTTTACTTAACGAATGAGTCGAACACGAGCTAATTAACGAGTCGAACACGAGTTGTTCGCGAACAACGTGCTTTTTTGACAGCCCTACCAAACAATGATCAAGGAAATGACATTTGGGACTCAATTTGGATTTTCACCCTACTGCAAACGAAAATAAAAATTTCTAATAAAACATATTACATCAATATGAAAAAAAGAAGTTGAGGTTCTTACAGAATCTACTCAAGCATCCCGATAAGACTGAAAATTTTGGATGCCAGAATTCATGCATTGACATGCAGGCATAAGCGAACCCATGAAAGCGAGTGCAGGTACCAACCATGCATTCATACTTCTCTAATTGCATTCATTATCTAAACTTCAATAAAACCTGACATCTCTAACCAATATCATCAATACGAATCGTAACCTTGAAAAGAGTAAAGGTTGATCCTATATAATTTGAGGCATCTTATAATATATGATACAGCTCAAGCAATACATGCATCACGCAGGCATTGTATATCCAATCAAAATCCTGCATTACTTCTTGCATTGTGAAACCCATACTCCATCTTACACATGTTATCACTATCATTATTTGAAAAACGAAATATGGACATTATTTAAATTTTCTTCTACATACAGTTATGTCTTCGGCCACCCACAATAGATTAACATTACAATTTCTTTGCCATCTCGAGGTGCTTTAAAATTAAAATTATTAGACCCACAGATCAATCCTAAAATAGGCAAACTATTATTAGTTACTACAAAAATAGAAAGTGTTCATCAATTGAACAGTATCTATCTTTAATTGAACAGCATCAACTAGTTCATTTACTTGTTCTTTCAAAAGAACACATTCATATAACCTGCATAACCGATTAGTATTTCTGACTCCTCCCTCTTAGCATGTCCCTTCAATGCCATAAATTCTTCAAGCCCGACCCATCACTTCCTATCTGCTTCATCAAGCATTGTGTGTCCCACCATATGTTGATCCTAAACCACAATGCCAACTTCCTACATCTTCCATTTATTAATTTTTTCATAATTTTTTTTGTTTTACAAATAGATCTTATCCCTTAATCGTCTACTCCTATCACCTACTGCATCTTCTCTTCCTAATAAAATGTTTATTTTATGTTTTCCACAACGATTTTCTACCTGAAAATTATCCCACGGAGGCACCTCTCACATCTTTTCATCCACAAATTCTGCACTAATTATTTGGTCACATTTTGATCCTTTTGCGTTGGAAGCTATATGCAGTATTTCCAACAATTTAAAATCTTAATTTTCTTCTACATTCGTAATGTATTGAATTACAACATACCTAATGATTGCTGACTTGTTAAGATGTTCTTGAGGTTAATTGCCAACATCGAAAATTTTGAAGTCAACATTTTAGTTCTCGATATGGCTAAAGGTCGTGCCAGAAGACTTGATAAACTAAAATAACTTTAGTACAACTCAATAAAAAATTAATAGAAGAGGATTAATAAAGCCAAACCCAAATTTTGAGTGAATGAGAATTGAACCAGCTTAAATCAAAATACACAACCTCCAAACCAGTTCAAGTTAAAACCTAGGCTCAAAATATAGTCCAGGCTGAGCTGAGCTAAAATCCCTCGCCCAAATTAAGCACACTAGCTACAAAAAGGATTCAAGACCGGTCAATTGCTTTGGATCAGTTATCAAGAAATTAAGTAAAGCAAAAACCAGATTGCGTCATATTGGGACATAGAAGTCTAATTGACTTGGGCAATTTGGTGCAACATACACATAGGATATCGAACAAACAAGTAAAACCTTGCTAAGTTGAAAAAAATTAAAAAAAAAAAAAACATAATTTAGTCTAAGAAAAAGTACAATTGAAACCATAAGTTATCATTTTGATAAAATATAATGTGTTTAACAATGTCATTAAGATGTTTTATTTTATAATTGGCTAAAATTCTAGAGAGTTGTCACTAAACTATTTGGGATTCAAAGGGTTGGCTAATTATCTGAAGCATGGCTTGTTACTCTCTGGAATTATGCTTGTAGTGTAATGTAAGGAGAGACCAACCTTGGCAGCATCTATAATAAGAGTACGGCTGAAATAAGATTCAACGAGCTGTAACATTGTATCAGAATCGGATCTGCAATTAAACAACCATGATGAACCTTCAGCACAGCATGAACTCCATGTAGTGTGTAGGAAAGGAGAGAAAGTTAGTGCCATTTCCTTAAATTTTTTTTTGCATTTTGTCCCCTCACATAGAAAATAAATTTACTTGCACCCATTTTTCTTTATTTCTTTTTATTCAGATATTATACCCTAATTATAATTTTAAAAATGCTTATAATTCAAAAAATAACTGTCAAATTTTCTTTTTTAACTTGCGATGACCTTTTATTTCACTTATTTTCAATCACCTAAATTACATTTTATATTATTAAACAAATTACGATCAACATATTGATACACTTCTACAAATCCTCTCATGCCCCACTATTTACTTTATCCATTATAATTTCAAAATTTCAATGAAAATAAGCTGTAAATTAGCCACAAATTTTTGTGCTTGCTTATTGAAGGTTTTTGATACACACAAACTTTTGCATCTTGAAGGATGCTTAGGTATTTCCATATTTGTGTAGCTCATGCTATGTATAGAGCCTAAGAGATAGATAATTTTTATTGATAAACTTTACTATCATCATTACCATTATCCCAACAATTTGAAGTCAGTCTCAAGAATCTTTATTTTCCACTTATTCACAATAATTGTTGTTTGAGTAAAACATATACTTTATAAATCATTTTAAACTTTATCCATGATACCTTAGGTCAACCGCTTTTCTTAATCATTTCATACCGATTTTACCTTCCTATTTAATAGGTGCATTCCTTAACTTTCATTTTACATCTAAAAATCCCCTAACTTTATTTTCAAATATCTTATCATCAATAGATAACATTCCAATAATCTCTATAACATAAGCATTCCTTAATTAATCATTCCAAATTTTACTACAAATTCATCCAATAATTATCATTTCTATCAGTACCCAACAAAGCAAACAAAAGCTTTTTTAACACTAAAAGCTCAAATCATATAACATCGTTGAACTAAATGCAATTTTATTAAATTTATTTTTAACTCTTTCATTTTATCCTTTATTGTATAATGCTCCTACAATGCTTTTCGATTTTAAACAATTGGCATTGAGTACATAAGTTAGGTTGTCCTCTATATCCCAATTTTTCAATATGATACATCCAAGAGACTAAATACCAATTACCTCTAAATGTAACTGTATTCTATAATAATATTGAATACTATTGATTGATTAATATTATGACCATTAAAATTACAGGTTATATACTCAATATTTGTCCTGCTAATTCTAAGTCTCCTATCTTCTAAATATTTTTTATTTTTCTAACTTTTTGCCTTTTTTTTT